TTTTTTTTTTTTTGTGGTAATTTAAAAAAAAAAAAAATGAAAGAAAGTTTTTGCAAAGTCGAGTTGATTAAAAAATATATATATTTTTTTTTAATATTTAATGAAATTAAAAATAAAAAAATAAAAATTTTTTTACAAACTTTTTCCGGTTTTCTGGTTTTCCGGTTTTTTTGCATCCCACTCATCACATCATTCCAGAATCTATGAAAATAATGGGGGAGTAGTTGAGGAGAGGGCAACGCACGTGTTTGTATTTAAAAAAATTATTTATTTATTTATTTTTTTTGTATGTTTGATTTCAGTCGGAGCAGAAGAAATTTTTACAACAGCACAAAGCAAGATCAGAAACGTATAGTAAAGCAGCTGCCAACATGAAAAAATACAGGAAAAAAGGAAATAAAGGTGGCGGAAAAACGGGATTGGCCACGGATAAAGAGCTTAAGGTTAATGCGATTTGTCTTTAAAATTTTTCTTTTTTTTTTCTTATACGAAATCTCTTTTTGAAAACTTTTTTCTCTCTCTCCTTTTTTTTTTTTTAAAGATTTTACTCTTTTAATAATAATAATAATTTTAACGTTGGTTTAACAACAATGAATCGTACGAGGGGTAGATGGGGGGGTTAATAATAACGAAAAGAGAGAGAGAGAGAGAAAGCAAAGGGGTGTGTGTGTGTGTGGTTGTAAGTAAAATTTTCTTTTTAAAACTTTTGATACAAAAAGTAATTAACTTAATCCTTTTTAATTTTTAATTTCAACGGATTAAACTCAACGCTTTATAATAATCGATGAGAAAATAAAATTAAAAAAAAAAAAAATTTACGTGGTAATAGAAACGAAAAATATAATCGTGTCATTATTATAGCCTTTTGTCTCCTTCTACGAAAAATAAATTGATAAATCTCAATCGAAAGATTATTCGCGGTTAAATTTATTTATTAAAAATAAGAACGACAAGGGAAAAAAATAAATAAATAAATAATCGGGTTAAACCCGATTTAATACTTATGGCGCCATAATAAATTATTTAAGGGTGAAATGTAAAACCGTTCAAAATAAATTTCAATCAATTTTTTTATTTATTTATTTTTTAATAAAGAATATTATCATTATTATTATTATTAATAATACTTAAATAAGATTGATTATATTTAAATGAAATGATTTTTTAATTATAAAATAAACAAAACAACAATAAAGGGAAAAACTCTTGACGTAAAATCTGAACCCGTAGTGACGTCATCAAGCGCACGTTTCTTTCGAAATCGATTGATGATTTCTGAACGCGCTTTTTTTTCGATTTCCGATTTAATTTACCGTTACAAAATTTAACGAGAAAATTTATATATTGTCACGGTTTTACTTTTTTCTCGTCTGATCGTCTGATGATGGTTCTTTACTCCGTTTCCGGTTATGGCTGCTCTATAGTATCAGAGCACACTTGTAAGGAAGAAGAAGAAGATGTTTGAGGAGAAGAGAATGAGGAAGGAAGATGTTTGTAAATATAAGGTAGTGACGTCACAATCACTGTATTAGGTGATGATGAATGAATGATACCAAAAAATGATGGATGAACGTAACCGGAAGAACATTCACGACAAGATGAAACGTTTCTTCAGGAATCTCATCTAACAATGAATAGTTTCTAGAAGGTTCTCTTCTCTCTTTAGCTATACTACCCCTCATCCTTTTACTATTTTCGGTGTTTATAAACATCGGCGTGAATAAATCGAAGATGAGAAGATCATAACAATATATTTATATTAAATTGATTTTGTTGAAAAAATAAACAGAAAATTATTTATATATATAAATATAAATAAAAACGAAAGTTAATATGGCGGAATAAGTTTTTTATTTAATATTAAGTTAAATAAATAAAAACGATTTTCTTTTTTTTTTTAAAACAATTTTCTATTTCATTAAACGAAAAAAAAAAAAAAAACATTTTCGATTGTTTTTCATCTTCTCTTCTTCTTCTTCTTATTTTAGAAAGAAAAATTTTTTAAAATGAAAACAAAACGAACGATCCGCCATTTTTATAATTTTTAATTTTTTTTTTTTTTATCATTTCAGAACATGCAAATTTTAGAAGAAGAAAAATCAAAACTCGATCGTTTTTGCGAACAAAGTTTAAAAAACGTAATTATATACATTTATTATTATTATTATTAACTAAAAAAAAAAAAAAAATGTCTTCTTGCATAACTGAAAAAAAAAAAAATTCTTTGATTCGTGTTATTATTATTATTATTTACGTAACGGTTAAAAAGAAATAAAATTTTTTTTTTGTTATCGTTACAAAATTATTAAAATCATGTCAAATAACGAATAATTATAATAAATGATAAAAATTATTAATAATAATAATAATAATTTCCAGGCTATGACGCAAGAAAGAAGAAGATACGGTTTCGTTTTGGAGAGGCAATGTTCGTTGGCAAAACATTATTTAGCTTATCACAATGCTGGAGTTAGTTCTTATGGAAGAAATTTAGACGAATGGCAAGATGTCGCCAGAACGAGAGAATATTTACCCGAATCCGTTGAAAATATGTTTGCACTCAAATTAAGAGTGAGTGTTTCATTTTATATTACAATTGACGTGGAAGAAGAAGAAAAATTATTATTAATTTAATTTTTTGTAACGTTTCAGCAACTCAGCATATGGCAAGACGATGATAATTTTTCATCGGAAACAATTTTGGACGATGATAGAATTTCTATATCGTCACAATTGAGAAAAACAAAATCAATGGACGCATCTTGTCTCGACATAAGATCAATTAACGACGTGAGTTCATTAAAACCGTTGTCGAGAGCCAAATCCGAATTTAATATAAATTCATCGAATAATTCATTGGTTCAAGGTAATAATCGTCATTTAATTATTTCACCTATTATTATTATTAAACTTGCTCGCCGTGCGTCCGCCATTTTTTTTCCCTCCCCCCCCCTCCATCTAAACGTCATCGTCGCGTTTCTTTTTATTTTTTTAATTTTCAGTACTTTCCAAAAAGGTTTTTCCGTTGGATTTAAAAAACGTTTTTAAGAGGAAAATCTCGAAAATAATCTCGAATAATTAATCGAATTTTTGCGGTCGTTCGATTAATTTAATTTTTTTCGATCAATCGATCATTATAATTATCGAACGGGAAGAATTTAATTTTGGGGAAATACGTTTTTTTTTTTTTTTATTTGCTGTCGTTTAACAACGAATCGAAACAAATTGAAAAAAAATTTTTTTTTTGTGTTCGATGATTGATTGATTGATTGATTTAAAACGTTTCGAGAATTCTCTTTAAATTCAATAAACTTAAAGTATTTGTCTTGTTTGTTTGTTTGTTTGTCTCACCGATCCGTTAACGTTTGTTTGTTTGTTTACATCGATCTACTTATTTAAAAAAAAAAAATTATGTTTTTAAATTTCAAACGATAATTTTAATAAAAAAATTTGTCGGTCGGTCGGTTCGTTGGATCGAAAGCGAAAAAGTCGATTTTTATCGACCGCCATTTTTTTTTTTTTTTTACGACGTTGTTTTGCCCGTTTAAGATATTTTTTTCGTATTACGTAATTTTTTTTTTAAACTCGAAAAAGTAAAAAAATTTATTTTATTAGTAACCAGACTTTTTTAATGCCCCCCCCCCCTTCCCATTTTTTTTCTCCTTTCGTTTACGCACCTGTCAAAATTTCACGTTTGACCTTGAAAAAAATTAACCTAACGTTTTTTTTATATCGATTATCGATATTATTGATATTATCGATTGATTGTAAATAAATAGTATTATTCACCTTCGTATTTGATTCATTAATAAATAAAAATTTTCATTTATTATTATTATTATTCGTCGTCGTTTCCGCAATTTTTCCGTTATTTTTTACTTTTAAATTTAATTCGTTAAAAAAAAAAGGGAAAAATTTCGCTGATTTGAATTTGTTAAAAAAAAAAAACTTGTCGACATTTTTTTTAACGACTCACGGAATTCGTGTTTTGGTTTTAGTTTTAAATATTTAAATGTCAACGCGTCACGTTTTTTCTACGTCCACTTTTTTTTTTTTTTAAAGAAAATTTTTTATATGTTTTCGTCACATCATTCAATTTGACGAAAAATTAAAACTTTCAAATATGGCGATGGAATTTTTTTTTTTAAAGATTTTTACTCGCCCACGCGTTAAATTTCAAAAAAAAATTTTTTTTTTTCGCGACGTAAACCACGAAATCCTAAAATGTTTATTATTATTATTATTATTATTATTATTATTATTATTATTATTATTATTATTATTATTATTATTATTATTTTCGCATTTGTACCGCGAATTGGAATTTTTTTTTTCTAAAAAGTTTTTTTACATTTTGATTCTTCTCAAAAGAAAAAAAATTCAATAAAAAATGGCGGAGATCGTCCCACGTTATGTGCTAATCGTTTATATATATATAATTTAATCCTTTTATTTTACAATAATTCTATTTAATTTCCTCATTCTCGTGACACGCACGACGATCGATTCTCCCACGTTAAATCAAATAATTTTTATTTTAATTATTATTATTATTAATCATCACCGTAACCGTTTCGAACATTACGTTTATAGAATAAACGGATGAGGTAAAATTTTAAATTTTCGCGCCAAAATTTTCCTTTTAAATATATCGATCGATATGATGAAATTATTTATACGTTTTTTATTAACGACGAATTTATTTTTTTTTTAAAAAATTGATTGCATCGTATTCAACAATTTGCGTTCCTCATAATTAAACTTGGACAAGTTTTGGAGAGAGAGAGAGAGAGAGAGAGAGAGAGAGAGAGAGAAAAAACGTTCCAACCGGAAATTCAGGTTTTCGATTCCAGGGAAATTTCCTTTATATCAAAAAAAAAAAAAAATTTATACAAGTGAAACGACTTTTTTATAATTCGCCGGGGTCATTTCGCGTTTGCTAGCAGAAAACATTTTTTCATTCGACATTTCCTTTTTTAATAATAATAATAATAATAATAAAGATTTTCACAATATTTCCGGTACGTCCACATTTAAAACGTTGGGTTTTATTTTTTATTTTTTTTTTCCTTTTAACAAAACAAACAACAACGAACGACTCGAACCTATAATAATAATAATAATGATAATTTATTTCACGCAAGAATTATTTTTAATTATATTATTATTATTATTATTATTATTTATTTATTTATTTATTTATTTTAATATTATTATAAATATAATATTTACGTTTTTTGTTATTCTAATCATAATTTTAAACCGTAAATAATTTGAAATTATAAAAGTGACGTCATAACGGTTTTATTAATGACACGACGAAACGGACGTAGGGAGTAGGGAGAGAGAGAGAGAGAGAGAGAGAGAGAGAGAGAGAGAGAGAGAGAGAGAGAGAGAGAGAAAGACGGGGAGGAAAATCAGTCAAAGGAAAGGTTTTTTCGAAAGGAAAAAGGAAAAGGAAAAGGTTTATTAAAATTTTATTTTATTTTAATTATATTACTAAGAGAAGAAGAAAAAACCGTTAAAGAAAATGTTTTTTTTTTACCTTGTTGTTGTTGTTTTAGTTTATGGTTTTCACGTGTGAGCGCGTGCGTGAGCTTGAATTCGTTGGAGCGGGGTGGGGGTGGGGCGGGAGTGGGGGTTGCGTAAATGCGTGGGTTTGTTTGTTTACGCGTACGTAAGGCGGAATGATGATAAAGAAGAAATTTTCACAGGGATATGAATAAAATAACATGAAAAGGATTTTACGCGAGAGGTAAATAAAATAAAAAAATAAGAAAAAAAAATTTTCTTTTTTTTTTTTTTTATTTTCCTCCAACAATATTTAAATTAGTTTTAAAATGTATTTAAAAAACCTTTTCCTTTTGCGTACAAAATTTAATAATAATAATATTAATAATAATAAAATTGAATTTTCCCCCCTCCTTCCCTTCCCTATCCTTCTTTCTCTTTTTTTTCGAATTTGGTTTCTTTTTTAAAAAGGAAAATTTTCTTCTTTACGAAAAAAAAAAAAAAAATTAATTTTTCATTCATTTTATATCCGTTTCTCAAATAGGTCTTATTATTATTATTATCATTATTATTATTATTATTATCATTATTATTATTATTATTATTATTATTATTATTATTTTATCGAAATAATAACGAATTTCCTTATAATTATTCCGTATTCAAAATTTTTCGTAAAAAGTTTTTTTATTTTTCCAATAAAATTTCCCTTCCCTCTCCCCCTCGTTTCTCTCTCACTCTTTCTCTTTTTTTTTTTTTTATTTGATGATGATAATAATAATAATTATATTTTAATTTAAAAATTAATTTTTTTTTTTTAATTTTACATAAAAAATTATTGATAAATAATAATAATAATAATAAGTGAGGCGGAACGTTAAAAAGAAATTTGATTTAATTAAAAATCTCATTTACATCAATTTTGCATAGAGAAACAAAAAAAACGTGTAAATAGAAATTTAAAAAAATGAGAGGGAGGAAGGAGGAGGAGTAAATTTATTTTTTTTTTGTGTTTTTTTTCGGGGGGTTTAATTTAAATGATGATGATTTAAATTTAAGTCTCTAGCTCACGTCAAGAAGGAAGTGGGTGGGGGGGAGGAAAAGAAGGTAAAAAAAAAAGTTTTTGTTTTCCTTTGGGAATCTACTTTCCCTAACCCCTCCTCCATATTTTTTTTTTTTTCAAAAAGTTTATTTTCACTTTTAATTGCGCGAACGCACCGAAAGTTTTTTTTTTTTTTTTGTTTTTTTTTCATTTTTTAAACTTTCATTAAAGTTTTCAATTGTTTAAAAAAAAGAAAAAAAGTAAAGAAAATTTTGGAGAGGGAGGGTGAGGGGGAAATGGCGGGTGCGGTTTCGGTGATAAATTACAAAAAAAAAAAAAATTTTTTTTTTTATTTATCACGGCACAAAAACAAGTGAGAATAAATAAATTTTTATTTTATTTTTCATTTTCCATCTTCTGCTTTTCCGAATGAATTTTTCCTTCTTTTTTTTTTTTAGATGATAATTCAATAGAACAAAGACCGAAATCTATGGCGATACCGGATAAATCAAATTGGGGAGAAGCATCATTAGCAAGAGCGATGTATGCTTATTTATCCTCTGGAGAAAATCAATTGAGTTTTTTGGAAGGTGATATTATTGTTTTATTAGGGGATCGTAATAAGGGATGGCAATTTGGTGAAAATTTAAGAACTCAATGCAGCGGATGGTTTCCATTGGCATATACGGAAGTCATAGCAGAAGATCCGACATTAAAGTGAGTTTATTTTTTTGTTTTTTTCCCCTCTCTTCTCTTCATCCCCTTCACTGAAAATTTCATTAACGCAATCCTCCAATCATCATTATTATTAATAATAATAAATTTTATTTAAACAGTAATTCACCGGTCGAAAGAAAAGTTGAAACCGTTACGAATAATAGCACGACAGGAACCCTCGGGGGAAACAGCAGCAGACATGGCGGAAATACAAACAAACCCTCACCGACGACAATGTTTGGTGATACTCTCCTTCATAGAAAAATGACAAAACAGGTGACATTATTATTATTATTTTCTTTCCGAAATTTCCTTTTCCGGTAAATTTAAAAAAAAAAAACGATGTAAATAATTTGTCAATTTAAAATAAAAATTGATACATAAATAAATAAATTCATGAATCGATAAATAAATAAAATGTTGTTCGCATTTCGTCGTTTGTCGTTTGTCGTTTTGATTTATGGGTTGTTTATTTAACTGGATGGATTTAACCAAGCACAGATTTCATTTTCCCTTCATTGATTATATATAATACAAGATGGGGAGGAGGAGGGGGGGGGTTGTCGTAAATTTTTCACAAAGCAACAAATGATGACACAAAAAAAAAAAAGGGAAAAAATATTTTACGCTACGTCATAAGTTGACTTTTTTTCTAAAAGTTTATCCGCCATTTTGATATATATTTTATACTAATAATAAAAAAAAGGGAAAAATTTAACTTTTCCTCTTGTATTTTAATCTTTTTATATTTTCTTTTTCATAGTCGTTTAAATAAATAAATAAGATAAAATTTAAATAATAAATGAATGAAATAAAAATAATACCTTTGAAATTTTTCCTTTTTAAATTTAAACAATCGCGTTTTTGAAAAACTCATTTACAATTACGATGATGATGATGATGATGATGATGACTGTCATAAATTTTCAATTTGTAATTTTTTTGTTTTGTTTTTTTCTCCATCGTGTTGTAGAGTGGACCGAAAATGCCAATCGTAACGAGTTTGGGTCCCCCACCATCTCTTCCAGCTCCCATTCCGGAACTACATCAAAGAATAACCCGATCCATAACGACAACTGCAATGGTTCATCCTCCCCAACCGATTGTCAGTCCAAGAAACGATGCTGCAACACTGCCAAATAAAAGAGGAGGAAATAATCATCCTCCTTCGATGCCTTCTTTGCCTCTTCATTTGAGTAACAAACGTGCTAATGGAGCTCCCGGTAGTTTACATTCAAGCAACGATAGCGGTTTTAGTAATGATCCACCACCTCAACCGGAAGTTGATTATTCCGATGATGATTCATCAAGGTAAGCCTTCCCTCGCCTCATTCCGAAAAAATTTATAATTTTCATGTTTTTTTTAATAAAAGGTGTCGGGTCCTTGTTTTGTTTTTTAAATATTTCTAATGAGAAAAAAATTTTTATAATAAAAAAAAAAAAAAAAAACTTTAGAGCTCCACAAAATACTCTTAGCGATGCAACTTTAAGAGCACCAACGGAAGCTAAAAAGAAAGAATTATTGTCTTCGGTACGTGGATGGCTTTTATATAAATCAGCACTTGACCTTTGGGATGACGTAAGCGATCAAAACACATTGAAAAATTCAACGGTCACGCGTACGTTATCAACAAGGCAATCCTCCTCCAACAACCACAACGGAAATGGAAATACAAACGTGAGTCAAAATGATCCGGTTGGAACTTTGGGAAGATTCGGAAGTAGCGACATGTTGAAACCGACGCCCATAGCCGTAGATAAAGCATCATCGCAATTAAATAATAGAATAACAGTTAAAAGAACGAAATCCCTTTGGAAATTCAAAAGATCCCACAAAAATGAAATATTAGAAGGGATGTCCTTGTGGAAGCACAGGAGTTTAATCGACGTGCGAAATCCGGATTCGAAAGAAAATCAAAATCAGTCCGATCAAATGTCAACGAACGAGGAAAAAACAGAAAACATATACGCATCCGCGGAAAATCTTCTCATCAAAGATAATACTAATCAAAAATCCATAGATAAAATAAACAATGAAAAAAACACGAGGAAAAATGTTAAAAACGAAAGCGGCAAAGATCAGGAAGATTATTATTCTGATGACACGACGATTTTAGACGACGATTCGGATTCGGTCATAGTCGTGAACGACCATATAAATTTAACGACGAAAAGAAAAAATCGTACAAAATATGTCGAAATATCGAATCGTTCCAATATGTCGAAATCTGGAACTCTTAGAGATAACGGTGATAAATACAACGAAATGTCGTCCAACAGTCGTTCGGATTTATCGGAACAAACGGAAACGGAAACGATCGGAAAGGAAAGTTTTTTACCCCGTATGAAATTAATCAAATCAAGTTCAAACGATATATCGAATAATCATTTTATCGAAAGAGATTTATCTAATAGGAAACCCTATTCGACGTGGAATCCGAATTTGAAAATAAAAGAAAGTAAAAAATGGCGGGAAAACGATGGGAAAACGACAAATTTTTACAGGGAAAAATCAAATAACAAATTAAAAGATGCACCCAAATTAATTAAAGATCAATTGAGAGTGAACGAAAGCAAAACTAAATGCGGTCCATGGTATGATTTATGGGGAGTCGATTCTTCCGTTAAATCGTAAAAAAAAAAAAAAAAAATCAATCAATCAATCGATTATTAATTAGAATGTTCTAGATGTTTCTTCTATATTTTTACAAAAAAAAAAAGAAAAAAAAACATTTCGATGAATACATTTTTTTTCATCGCTTCGGTGATGGCTGCCATTTTTATTTTTTTGTTTTTATTTTTTTTATTTTTTATTTTATTTTACTATTATTATCATTATCATTATCATTATTATTATTATTTAGACGTTCATGTTTTTATTTTATTTTGTTTTTGTTTTTTTTTTGGTTTTTTTCTTTTACAACGACTCTCGCGACCGTTACGAAATGACGTCAACAAAAATTTCTAACCGTGTGGTCGTAAGAAAAAGTCGACGCGGCAACAGAGTCGATAGCGTCGTGACGTAATAATTATAAAACACGATTTCGCGCGCGCGCGCTTTTTATTGGGTAATTTTATTTTTTGATAAAATTATTACAAATTAATTATTATTATCATTAATTTTTTGCTTTTCTTTTATTTATTTATTTCTTCTTATTGTACTGAATGAATGAACAGAGCAGACGAATTTCAAACCCGATAAATTCGCAAAAAAAAAAAAATTAATGGATTTGACGTGACGTGAAAAAAAAAAAAATGGTGGTGATGATAATAATAATAATAATATTAAAAACGTAATTTTACGTAAAAAAAAAAAAAAAAAATTTATGTCAACTTTTAAAAAACAATAAAAAAAAAAAAAATTAAAAAACGACACGAAACGACGGATTATATAACGTAATAAAAATAATAATAATAATAATAATAATAATAATAATAACAGTTTTAAAATTCGATGAATCATGTAAAAAAAAATAATAATAATAACAGCATGCGAATATTTTTTTTAAAGGGGATAGGGTGTTTGATGAAAATAATAATAATAATAAATAAATCATAAATTTTTTTTTGTTATTTACGATGTGTAATCATTGTTAAACATTATTCTTTTTTTTTTTTTTTTTCTAAAATTTATAATCGCTTATTTTTTTTTTTGTGTGTGTTCCGACAAACCGAGAGGTTTATACTTAATCGACGCCATTATTGATAAATAATGGAGAAAACACGCAAAGAAAAAGAAAAAAATTACATTCTCGTGCCGATGAATTATTATTAGTTTTTTTTTTTTTTTTTTTAAAAAAAAAAAGATTTTTCATAAAGTTTAAACAAAGTAATTTATTATTATTATTATTATTTGCGTTTGACTCGTGAATAATTTTCTTCTTACATAGAGTAAATGATTACGGTGCAATTTTGTTGTGAATATATTGAATTGAATTCAAACGTTGATTAGAAAATTTATGCGAATATTTTTCCTTTTTAAAAATAATTAACGATTATTTCCGGTTGAGAATAAAATTTAATAATAATAATAATAATAATAGTAATAATAATAATAATGATAAATGCAAACGAGTAAATAAACGAGAGAAAAATAATATTTTGACATTAATTATTTGTTATTATAATAAGTTAAAGGATTAAGAAGTGATGTTGGAGTCATAGAGTAAGAAAATCAAATGAAACTAATTTAGTATCGTTAGGTTGTCGTTCGTTTTATTTTTCTCCTTCCTTCCACTTTTACGCGCCATTTTTTTTTTTTTTTGATTCGAAATAAATAAATAAATAAAAATTAAATTGTTTATGTGATTTTTTTATAATTAATAATTTTCGAAAGGAAAAAAAAACGAAAAAGTAAATATTTGCGCGCGTTTTTTTTAAAATTTCAAAAAACGGATTATTAACGAATTTTAACGGAAAAAAAATCGTTTATGACGTCATCAAATTTTTTTTTTCAAATTATTTCGACAGGTGTTCGATTATTTTTTTGTATTATTTCGTTCTGTAACGGACACACTTGTGACACTTGTTATTTCCGTTTTGTTTTTTGTTACTCTAAAAATCAGACTTAAAGGGAGGGTTCAGGGGAAGAAAGGGGGAAAGAGAGAGAGTGAGAGAAACAATGGAAAAAAATAAATAAATTTACTTTTAAATTGTTTTAAAATAAAAAAAGAAAAACAAAAAAAAAAAAAATTCGATATGTTTTTCAGAGGAACAGCATTTGCAACGGTCAAATTGAGAAAAACGAAGACTAACGACAGATCGGCACCGTTTATTAGTTAGTGATAGCACAAATGTTAATGCCACCTTCTAAGTGACCTATGGTGATGGTGGATGGTGGATGGTGGATGGTTATGATGATGGTTGAAGAGATCTTGTGGTGAAGGTGACGCCGATGTATTGATGGTGATGGTGGTGGTGGTGATGGTGGCGATGTTATTTGTGGTGATGGTAATAAAAAACCGTTAAAGAAAAAAATTTTGATCCCGACAAACGAATACTATTATTATTATTATTATCATTAATATTGTTGTTTAAAAAGAAACAAACAAACAAACAAACCAACGAAACAAGTGACATTTTTTTTATCAATAAATTTGCACGCTATAAATAATTAATTTTTAAATTTTAAAATACTCTTAACATTTCTTATAGCGCTATAATTCCCCCCCTTCATCCCCTCCCCCTTATCCCCCTCCTTGCTCCCCTTTTATTTGCCTTTTTTATTAATCTGCTTTATGTACCTGGTGAGAATTTATGCCTCGCATGTTTATGGTATGTGTTATTAAAAACGCTTTAACATTGTCTTAATATTTTTTTTAATGTCTTTCGAGAACCTTCCAAGTAGTACCCTCCGGATACCTTTCGAGTACTTTTCGGGTACCTTCCGGATACCTTCGAGTACCTTTCGACTACCTCTAGAAATTTACGCTGCTCTGTTCTTTTCGTTACGAGGTGACGACTCTCTTTTAATTATTTTTTTTCGTCATTATCCGAAAACGATAATATTCGACACCTAATAATAATAATGATAATAAATCCATCCGATATCATTATTATTATTATTATCAAATACTGTAACCATGCACATATGCTGTATGTGGTTTTATGCGTTTGCAGAAAATTCTCACCTCGTCCTCAAGAACCCCCCCCCCTTTTCCTCCTTTTTTTTTCTTTTTAACAAATCCGCCACGGTTAAATTTTTTCAATCGATCTTTTACAAATGGCCGCTTTTTCGACCTTTGAACCCTGCCAAATGACCCGCCATGAAAAATATCAATAATGATGATAAATAAATTTTTTTTTTGGAGAAAATCAAACCGACGTCTGCCCCTCATCACAATCACGACGATGATGATGATGATGATGATGATGATAATGTTTGTTTTTTTTTTTAATAATAATAATAATAATAATAATAATAATAATAATAATAATAATTTTTTCTCAATATCCGTCCAAAATGCTCAGTAAAAAAAAAAAAAAAAAATTAAAAAAAACAATTTCGATATATTTCCCTTAGGGGTAAATCGCGTATATATCAAAATTATTTATTATACGTATTTAATTAATTAATAAATAAATAATAATAATAATATATTATTTATAGCAGCCATCATATCTTCCGTTGATTTTTTAAATGATTTTATTATGTATACAAAATAAATAAATAAATATATAAATATATAAATATGAATATTAATAATATATAAATACATATAAAAAATAAATTGTGCGTATCGTTATGTCTGTAAGTATGTATGACGTCATTAAAAAACCGTTAAATTACATCACAAACGGTTAAAACATTTCGATTTTATATTGATT